GCTGAATATGGTATAGGTGACATGTAACATTATGAACACAATTGTTTTTTGAGTTGTGTGTTGTTTACGTTGTGTTGAAAATATATTGTTTGCCATCAATAACAGCCGCTAATAGGTTTAATGGATTAAAACATTTTAACTTTCTGTTTCAGCCACTGCGTACGTCAAGAAGACTTACCAAGAGATTGAAACAGCAGCAAAATCTATGCAAAAAAAGCTTTGAATTACCAATACCTATAAGTGTAATTATTATGATTTTCTTAACAAATAAACATGTTTTAATATTTTTTATTAATATTACCCATTTGCTTTGATTACCCTATCCTAATAACATGTGAATAAAATATTAGAAATAAAAAATTGTTAAAGATCGTTCAACTTATAACGTCAATATTACTTCAAATGATTAGAGTTGGGCACTTTTACAGTATAAAAAAACTGCACCTTGCTTGAATATAATTGCACCATCGTTAAAATGCATTAAATGCAATGATAAACCCAATAATTAAAAATTTTGTACAGCCGACTTCAATACAAGTTATTAAGAATAACTCAATAACTATTGGTCTGATCTTGAACAACTATGGGACCACAAAAGGAGTATTAGCTTTCAAATAAGAAAAGAATCATCGAAATCGGTTCACCCAGTAAAAAGTTGTGAGGTAACACACATAAAAAAAACATACAGTCGAATTCAGTACCATCCCCTTTTTGGAAGTCGGCAGAAAATTTTGAATTAGTTAACTGTCGAATGCACCTAATCAACATTTAAAAATTTTGGTTATATCAACTTTATGTGCTTATCATTACCTTTTATGAATTTTTAACTATGGTGCAATTATATTCAAGCAAGGTGCAGTTTTTTTATACTGTAAAAAGTATCCAATTCTAATTATTTGAATTAATATCGACGTTATAATGTGAACTATCTTTAACTATTTTTACTTTCTAAACTACATTTCAAATAGTCATATCTCTTTGAAAAATGATTATTGTTTACTCCACCAAGCGTAAAAAAAATTGCCTCTGGGCTACTTTAATTTTCCCGCGTGCAAATTCTTAAAAATATTCAATAATTAATAAATAAACAATAAAAAAAGTGTCGCGGCATTTTCATTTGCGCATTGCGCATGCGCGACAGAATAAAGGTCACATCGAATATCAGCGCATGCGCGACAGAATAAAGGTCACATCGTATATCAGCTGATCAGCAAAAGCGTGATCTGCTATAACACGAGAGGCCTACTGAAGTAAATGTTACAAATTTCTTTCTCGTAGATTTTCATGATTGCTGAATGAACAAACAAATTTTTCTAACTCACCTCTCTTGAATATCTTTAAGCCTGCTCTCTAATAACAGGCAGCTTTGCGATATGGTCGTTTGTCACCCTCATGGTGATCGGCGATTGGTTGCGTGGTTGGAGGGTAGGCGGGCGTTGCGCGGCGGTTAGCAGCACTACAGCCTGTCATCCTTCTACCAGTCAGCCATTTTGTAATCAATACGAGTCACAGTATGGAGTGTAGAGAGAAGGAGGACCATCTCCTTGTATGAAGCGTCACTAAAAATGCGTCCAATAAGGGTGGCGCTGCAGTAGCATAGGATAAATTAAAAAAAAACACCAAAAGTAATTAGAATAAGATGGAGAAATAAGCAAGGACCGACCAATCAAAAAAATATTTGAATTCAGCTGACTTCACTCCGTTCACAACAGCTATATTCATATAGTTGTTTTTCAGACGCCAGCGCTATTGTAAGTTTTGGAACCTCTATTTTCAGTAAATAGTAGGACACTTTTTCAACTTTCGCCCCTTATAAGATGGTTCTCCTTGTACTCTACACTCCATAAGTCACAGACTGCAATGCTTAGTACGAGTCACAGAGTACTTTTTAACATGAGTTCTGACGTCCTGTATAGGACAGTTACTATACTCTTTGGTTCTGATGCCGCGCCGTTAGCATTGAAGTTATTCTATAACATAGACATAGTATCTTAAAATCAATGCTCTATCTACGTTCTATAACTTCATGGCCGTTAGTCCTAGATATAATAGAGGATTGACTAGGTACTAAGTCTATGCCGTTAGTTCCTTGCACAGAGTACCTTTGTGTAAACCAGTGCTTTGTATACACTTTCGTTCAATTTTTGTTATTTTCTGCTATCTATTGTTTTTGACGAGTTTTTCTTTCAGATTATGTTATTTTTGGTTACACAATTTCGAAAAGAATTACAAATACTGATTTGAATAGCGAATGTCGAGAATTTGTGATTCGCTTGCGAGATTATTTTGAACGTGAGTGTCAAAATAGCGGACCGTTGTTGCCGGTAACCTAGGTTGGCAACCAGACATTTAAGTAGTAGTAGTAATAGACAGGACATCAGCAGCAAAATTGTCGTCTGTAATTTATGTCCTATAATAATAATAATTCATTTATTTCGGACAAAAAAATATATCCACAGTTGTTAGTAAATGTTTTCTTATATCTAGTGTTAGTAACATATTGTTGACGACACAAGTATGAAACTGCACCGATGGTGGCAATAAGTCAGTCTACAAGGCAGCATGTAGCCGTATCCAGCGAGCCAACATCGGCGAGTCCCAGCGGTCGGCCAGCGTACGCAGGATGTTGTTGGGTTTGCCGCGCACGCGCCGAAGTAGCGATGCACAGCGCTACTTCGGCGCATGATTGCAGCGAATTCGTCGGTGTGAGCTTCCGCGATCATGGCGGAGGCGCTGCACCAGCGCGGCAGGACCCCTCAGCACCCTGAACGGGTTATTATATTGTATGCGCAGGTCGCTGTATGCCCTCTGCGTATAGTCTACCCACAGACTGCACGTGTAAAAGGACTGGAATAAGCTTTAAAAAGCGTAACTTTAACTTGGCTAGCACATCGTGCAAATCTGCGAGCCAACATGTTGCAGCGGACAGACAGCGCCCTTCTCTCTCTTTCAATATCTAAGTTGTCTTTTTGATCCTCCGTGACCCAGTGGCCCAAATACTTAAAACACTCCACCCTCTTTAAAGGAGTACCATCTAACGTAAAATTCCGTATATTAGTGTAACGCTTATTATCCGGTCTAAATATCATAAATTCACTCTTTATAGCGTTGTATTTAAGCCCCTGGGCCGCTATATAGGATTCACATATATTAATCATTTTCTTTAGAGCACCACTCGATGGGCTCAGCAACACCATATCATCTGCGTAGCTGATATTGTTGACACAGATTCCGTCTATATGACAACCAATACCGGTGCTGCTGAGCTCATCAATCAACCCGTTCATGTAAAGGTTGAAAAGCGTTGGAGAGCGTAGTCCCCCCTGCCTCACACCGCAACCCAACCTATACTCCTCGGAAAGCGGGCCTACCCATCATACATTGTTTTTTTTTATTATAATACCAGTACTTAAAAGCGATACAATTTCTCGAGGCAAGTCAGTCTCAAAATTCATTTTATCAAAGTCAAAATCCTTCGAAAAATCTAAATAGCTAACATATACTGGTGTCTTTCTTGCAGTGTAGTACTGGACAGTCTGCTTGAGGTACAAAATAGCACTCTTGGTTGAAAGACCAGGTCTGAAGCCGAACTGTGCGTCAGCGAGCGAGACGTACTTATTTAGGCGCCGACTAAGCAAACTGTCCAGTACTTTCGCAATCATCGTAGCCAGGGATATTGGCCTATAATTAGACACATCTGATGAGTCACCGGTCTTGTTTTTTTGTAACAGGTACAACTATAGTACGTATTAGGCTTTCATGTAGATAAGAATGTGCTACACAAAGATTAAAAACAGAGATAGTACTCTTGGCAAGTGTACTCCTGCGTACTGTAGATGCTCGATGCTGAGGCTGTCATATCCAGGCGATTTGCCCCGCACCATGCCTATAATTATTTCTTCTACTTCTTGTGCGCTAAATTTCACACTAAGATATGTACTGCACGCCTCAGCATCAAGCTCCCGCCGCATCGGCTCCAGTGGAGTCTACCTTAAAGTACCGCCGGAATATATTGGCCATATCACGTGGCTCATGAACACCCGCCACGCTCACAGGAAGGCTCGGCTTATAGTTCAATTTTTTCGTATTTTTCCAAAATCATTCAATGACCACATCTGAAAGCAAAATCGAGCCCTGCCGTGAGCATGACGAACGTGTCCAACCTGGTAGGTATTTAGCATATTGCTTTTTTCTAGCATTATGGCTGCAAACAGCAGCTTCAGAAAGTATACACACGATATTTTTATACAAGTCATCCAACAATTTTCTGTGATTACTACTATTACACATACTGTCACAACAATTCATAAATTCCACAGGAAAATCTAGGTTTCTTAGTCTAGAATACGGTCTAGAATGACATTCACTATAATATTTTAATATTTGATTAGTATCACGTTCACCCCATGTGATTTTATTCATACAATTATTTTCTATTGTAGTTATCTTTGATTTAAAAACATTAAAATTACAGTTTACTAAGACAGGATAGTGATCGGACCAATAAGTGTCATAAAGCACTGATACAGAGAGTACCGAATCCAGCGCGGCACTGGTCACCAGACTGATCGAGCCAGCGGCGGCAGCCATGAGCGTCACTGACGAACTATATATATGACGTGACTATCCGATGCTAGAAACTTACCATCAGGTGAGCCGCATACTAGTTTGCCCCCTCTTTTATTGAAAAAAAAAAGTCAACGACTCTAGCACGATAAGTTGGATCGACCGGGGAAGGAACAACTCTCACAGAATAGAGCAAACAACTTAAAGTTGCTATGGTGAGTGTAGAGAACTGGAGAACCTTTTGATTATAAACATGGCATTCTGTCTTAGTAGTCCTCAGGGTGACGTTTCTGCATTTTGATTTTTAATCGAGAATAGACGTCTATGGGCCACAGCATCCACTTACCATCAGGTGGATTGTTATTTTATTATATAGAAACAATATTTTGCTTTACTGTTAATCATAGGAAGGAGAAGAAAAAAAAGCAATTTTTACATTTATAATTTTTGCTGCATTTAATATTAAGTTAAATAAAACAAGTTGAAATTTTCCATTTAGAATAACATTTTTGAGAAGCGCTCTTTACAAATTTAATTCCAACAAAATTTTATTTAGCTTTTTCTTATAAAGTCTAAGGTTTCTCGGTGCTTGTAGACTCTGTTGAGTCTAGTGCTGAAGAAATTTTGTTATATACTATTGTTGCTGCATTACTTGTGTGTGTAGGAAGTTCTACAAGGAATTCAAATGTTGTTTTCACGCCACAGTTCCAATAATACTTAAATAAATATGATATTCTATCATTTGATGGTAGTGGAGGTAACTGAAAAAGAAAAACATTATAATGGTAAATATTTTAGACACCATTGTACTTGTGTGCAAGCGTTCTACCCGCTCCGCAAATCGCGAATACTAAGTTTGAAAAAAGAGGTCATGCTATAAATAGCCCGTGCCAAGTTTGTACGTAATCTTAGCTTACTATAGCTTGGACTGTTATTCCTAATACCTTATCAAAACGCGTGTAGAATGGACCATTTCCGATGATTCAAAAATTTTGCAAAGAAGATAAAAAAATTCTGAAGAGGATATCGACCATGATTTATTGAATAATAAGTTAACATTAAACGCATGCAATGCGCAACTATGCGTAAAAGAGCTGCATCTCTGGTGCGCAGGATTAGGACCAGTCCAGAGATTTAAATATATACGTATACTATAGAGCGGACATTGGGAACAATTATATACAAAAACTTTTAGCTAGTGCGCGTGTGGCACCCTCTAGCTAAAAATAGCAAAACAACGCTAAGCATTTATTAAGACAACATTTTAGCGATTCCCCAGTAGGTGACGCTAATAAATATAACCTCGTTTTAGGAATGTTACCGTTTCGATATCAAAGTATCAATAATGTTGTTGAAGATTACTAAGTTTGAAATGCTTTTCGATATAATAATAGGGAATATACATGATTGTTTTATTGTATAAGTCTATTTATCATGACTTCCATCACAAGAAAAAAATCATATTAACTTTATACGTCCCTTTAGTGTCATGAAAAAAATTATTTCCAATAACTAAGAATCAATTCAAACAGCAGTCACTTTGGTTGCCACCTTAGTGGTATGACGTCATTCGGTTCATTAGCTGCTATAATAATAGCATATGATTGATCGGTCGGCGTTAAAGACACATCGAGAAACGCTAAATCCAATAAGAGAGCGCCTCTATGTTTTTAAATTCGTTTCTATTACAAAAATACACTTCAAATCTAAAATATTTTAAAACACTGAACTTAAGAGCCGTTTCACGATTTTTCACGTTTCATCAGCTGCAGTACTTAAAGACATACCCACGTCAATAAAAATTGTTATTTTGAGTTTTCACCTTATTTTCTAACTCAGGCTTAACCTACAACTTCTTGCATCTAATATCTTTAACAGTACAAATTGTTTTTAATGTAAGAAATCTATTGCCCTCTCCTATCACTGTAAGCGAGAATCTATAATGGCTTTGTCCTTGAAAACCACCAGACAATGAAGCCTGGTATGTAAAAGAGATGACTTGCTGTATTGCTTAACATCAACACACCAAGTATCCTCAGCATGCTCATAAGCAACACAGAAAATCTCATCAGCACGCCTAAAAAAAAATTCCCACGCTTGCTCCACACAAAGTAAGGTACTTAGCATATTTGGTATATGCTACTCATTTTTGTTGGTAAGGGTACAGTATCGTTGACTGTTTACCTCCTTAAATATTGTAAAGGATTAAATCGGCATCCTGTATATTTTTTTATCGATAATCCCAATCGATAAACGTCGTCAACACTAACTGTAAAATTGGTAACTAAATAATGACGTTTACTGGACAACAGGAGGCGCTTATTACAATAAAAATAAATGTTCTAGAACAATCTACTAGAAATAATAAAATTTAAAGATTATTCACAACCGGACATATTTTCTTTAAAAATATTTTTTAAATATATGTAACGAATGCGTCTCGACTTTTTGACGATGTCACTAAGACTAAATGACAAAAATCGGAGATATATCCTATAGGACATAAGTTACAGACGACAATTTTACTACTGATGTCCGGTCTATTACTACTACTACTTAAATGTCTTTGGGCCAGCCCCAACAGTATTCTAATAATTTAAAATTTAAAATTTTGTACAGCCGACTTCAATATAAGTTATTAAGAACAACTCAAAAACTATTGGCTTGACCTTAATCAAGAAGGACCACACGAGAACTACTAGCTTTCAAATAAAAAAAGAATTACCGAAATCGGTCCACCCAGTAAAAAGTTACGAGGTGACACACATAAAAAAAAATACAGTCGAATTCAGTACCGTCTCCTTTTTGGAAGTCGGCACTACTGTCCCTATCTGCAACACTGTTGTAGGATGCATTTGTCCAGCAACTAATTATAAATATATGTAAATATAATATAAATAATGATAATAATTTTAATGCATGTATCCAATGTTAATATAACAATAGAGTATTTAGTTAAAATTTTATAATAATCATGATTCTTAAAAAGTTAATGTAATAATGAGTTGTGGATATTTGAAATTAAATAAATAATAATAAACAAGCGTTGGAGAATTATCAGAGAGTATGGTAAGAGACTGATACATGCACTATATGTCTTTTTTTAAATGGAGAAATAACTGCAATACAAATTGCTGCAAAAAATCAGATGTAAAGTTATTTACAAAATTATAAAACTGAGTTCATCAATTTAAAAATTAGATAATTTAAGTGTATAGTTCGATTTCAAAGTAATAATCCATTGAGAATAATCGCTTTCTAACTGAACAGTTGCTGCTAGTTTAATTTGCAAAGCAGTTCATCTCAGAAATACTTATATATTAGAACAATTTTTGCAATTTTTTATATAATAATAGTTTTTTAGAAAGTAAATTAAAAAAGTGGCAAGATATTACTGATATGAAATGGCAAATTTTGAAAATAACTACACATGTATTTTTTACGTAATTTTTATACTTTTGCACACACAATATACAAAACTAATTATTTATATCATCATCAGCCTGCAGCAGTCCACTGCTAAACATAGCCCTCGTATTTATCCAATATTTGTTATCTTGTAATTTGTTATTAAAAAACTGTATAACAAAAGCAATATCTATACAAATAAATAAAATGAAAGTGTCTGTTTGTAATATCAATATAACAGTTTTTTTTACTAAATACATATGAAAGTGTAGTACTTATAACAAAAACATATTTTTTTAATTTTGTCTGTCTGTTTGTTCCGGCTAATCTCCGAAATGGCTGCACAGATTTTGACGGGACTTTCACTGGCAGATAACTGATGTTATAAGGAGTAAGTTAGGCTACTTTTATTTTAGAAAAAGAATTAGAGTTCCGCGCAAAAAAAAATTTAAACCGTAAATTGAAAGCGGGGGAAGTCGCGAGGAACAGCTAGTATATTAATAAGATAAGAGCAATGGATTATAAGTACTAAGAGATAATCCTGCATAAACTATTTTGAATAAAACTAAAGTTACAGCATGTATCTTTAGTTATATTCAAAATACATACAGCATGCTGCTCAGCACTGGCCTCTTATTTCTGAAAGGATTATGGAACAATAAACATAAGTTTTGATTAACTACCCCTAACTATTGAAATGGGGGGGAAGAGAGGTCACTTAGTCTAAGATTCCACTATGAAAGTAAATAAATTTGAAAAGCACAGTGCGTCTGTTAGTTGTACCTTCTCCAAACATAGCACTGATATTGTGATGTGTTTCCGTCATTGTCGTATTTGCAAATTACTTCAACTTTTGTGGTCTCTATGTTTAACCTATATACTTACTGAGTTTAAATGCAATTTAAAGTCAACAACAGAACAAAATAAAACTTTTGCATTTAATATTTTATAGTTTTTGTTTATCAAGTTTTAATCATGAACCTTTGACCATGCAGGTTTCATTTTACTTCAAAGGGACCAGGGCCAGATTAACCGATTCGTTGCGGCACCAATTTTCGACAACTTTTAGCTGTGGCGGCAAACAAATATTTCATTACACGCCTATTTTGCCATCAGCCATGTGTAAAAATAATTTATCTTTTTTATGCTTGTTTTCACTTGTTTAGACCTAATTAAGTTTAGTTGACATCAAACATCAGTTACAAACGGAAGGATACTTGTTTTTAGTGGGTAACTACGTGTTTTTCTACGCGTTTTCTTTGAAATCGAGAGTAAGTAACTTTTTTTATGCAGAGATTACAAACATTTTGCACTATTTTTTGTTTTATAAAAAATCATTTATATAAGTAAGTACAGCTAAATTACCCTGAAAAACCTTCGTTTTTATTAAATTAAATTTTCACCTAATAATAATATTTGTAAACATCAAACAATCAAGAACCTTAATATGGAAAAAAATAAGGTGTGTAATAATAAAAATATGATTCATTAATATTTACAAATATTAAATATTATTTAATGTTATACAAATGTAAAAGTAAAGTCGATTTGAAAACGTCTAATTAGTAAGAATAGCAAAACAAGTGTTTTCAAAAGGAAACATACGCCGGCGTTATACGGCGGCGGATTGACGAAAGACTATTTATTAGCGAACTTTTTGTTATGCATGAACGGTATCAAACTGTTTCAAGCGAATATAAACCTTATACCATATCACAAGAGCACATGGTACTTCGTAGGTCTATTCGGCCATATGATAGTAATAAGACGGCAGTTTAACCATTTTAAGCAAAATTAAACAATAAGACAAACGCATTGTTTTTTTTAACAGGAGACTTGTTTTCCAGAAATTTATTTATAACTTGAGTTTGTGAGCGATCGCAATGAGCGCTATTATTTGTTACTTATTAGACGATTTTTCCATAACATGATTTAAAACCCACGAAGTAAAAATAGTACCATGTACACGTTAAAAAAAGGTTGTCAACCCCTAAAATTTCAAATTTTCAAAATATCCAGAAACGAAGCTGCATGCATAAACTACTCGCAAAATAATGAATATTTTGTTCTGGATAAATTTTTCAAAAACGCAATTTGAGCGAGTTATAACGATTTTTAAAAAGACACGACTCGTGTGTCATACGCCACACACAAAAGTAATCGATGGCACGCCTGGCGCGTCATCCGCACTGAACCGGTTAACTATGTCGGGGCTCTTAGGCAATGCAATTCTCGGGGTCCCTTTCCAATCAGCGTGAAGGGATGTGTGTAATAGCATTAGCAGCATCACCAAACCGATGCTTAACTCCTCAGAAATTTACAGTAAAACATTTGAATTTGAACGTAGTGTGCGAGATTTTTTGTTTCTTAATATGGGCCTGAAGACCATAGTAACTATCAGACATATTTGACGCATTATCGTTAGTCTTGCCTCTCGCATATTTTTATATCAATGTTATATTGATTAAAAACAAAGTTATAGCGGCCAATCTGTCCCTTTTGTGACTTACTATGGGAATAAATGTAAGAAAATGTTCTGCTACTTCTCCATTTGACGTAATGTATCTGATCAGTATGAGACATGCCTGGTGTCGAATTGACACTTATTGAGAAATAATTGGCTTTAATCATTTCATTAACAATGAATTTTAAAACTTTACTTCCCAATATTTCAATAAGTTCTTCGCAAATCGTTGAAGACAAATATGGCTGTCTTCCTTTCTCAACATTACCATTATTGACTAAATGTGAACTAGGAATGGATCATACTCCGCGAGTTATTATAAAATTCCCAAATAGTTGTCATTATGGTGAGAACGAAGAATTTCATCATAATTATAATTACATTTACAGATCAATCATTTCAAAACTTTTGTGTATCATACTTTTGTATATATATTGTTAGTTACTACCACTCGATACTAGATGGTTCTGTTCTGTAAGTATGAAGTTGGTTAGTTAGGATGAGGGATAATAATAAGATTAAACTTGGATAGTAGGTATATTCTAAGTCTATGATTAGTTCTGTGGGTATATTTCATCAACTGGCAGCATGCGTCGCCAAAACGCGATATATACCTATCGTCATTAAGGATACAAATTTTCCAATTAAATTTTCATTGTATGAAATATTTTCCATTACTTTTGTGCGGGTGCAGGGGCCCTAGCCGATGCGGGGCCCCTAAGCAGTTGCCTACTCTGCCTAAAGGTTAATCCGACCCTGAAAGGGACCATAACATTAAAATAGCTACTCCATATTTTTAACCATTATTATTACTTATCCCCTCCCAAGGGTCACCCTTGCCACAACTTGTTACGCTTAGAAAAATTGGTTTGTCCTAAATTTGATTGACAATAATCAATTTGTAAAATATCAAACACATTTACTAAATACTCCTAGTGATTTTAGTTACCAGTACCAGTGGTCAAAAGTAATGACAATCTCTTCAGTCAAAAATACTTCTGGACTATTTTACTGGTCAAAATTAGTTTTTTATCTTTTATTTAATTGCCACGTAAAAAATGTATAATATTCAAAACAACTTTCATAAAGAAAACCCAGCATGTCACATGTGTATGCAAATGTCGGACAAGCAAGAATAATAAAAAAATTTTTGTTCTTAATTTTCTACAGTTGAAACACGTACATTTAAAACCACATGTTTATTAGATCTATCAAATAGTGCTTATTTGTTGCTAACTATAAGTGTTGTAGTAACAAATTAATTATGAATTAATAAAAGAACAAAAATATGCAAAATGAGCTGTAACAACTTATTGTGTGTCTTGCAAACTAAATAATTTTATTTAACTGGATTTAGCAATCCAGTTAAATAAAATTATTTAGTTTGAATAAGCAAGACGATGACAATGACAATACAAAATAGCGTCAGTTTTACCGTAGGAATTGACATAAATTTGCAAAAATAACTGATTTTCAATAATTTTTTTCTCAAAAAGTAGGTATGCATTTCCGCAAATTGAAACTTTGCGAAATGCTTTCTTTTAGTGAGTACTATCAAAAAAAAAATGGGCATTTAAATCGATGGTCCGTATTAGAAATTTTAACCTTTTGATTCTTAATTGAGGATAAATGTAAATGTCTATGGGTCACAGCAACCACTTACCATCAGGTGGACTGTGTGCTCGTTCATCAACTTATTCTATATATATAAAAAAAAAAATTTACTGATTAAGCTAATGGGTTGCAACTATATTACAATTATTAATGAATTACTAAGCTCTTTGGCTACGACAAACTATACACTTTTGATTTATTTAAACATATATGTACCTCAACAGGTATTTTCTTTTTGAATTCCCCAACATAGGGTGACATTCCTTTTTCCAATTCTTCATATAAAACTTGAGTAGTAGCACTATCCTTCCATACACCCTTGTCCACTGTGTAATATACTGCTGACCCTAATACAGCAGATTTAATACCAAACCTGTATGGAATTTATTTTACGTTATTATGGAAAATATATTTAATATATACTACGGTATTTATATAAATGTGATTTACTTTAACATTTTGCTGTTATAATAACTATTAACTGAATGTAATACAATAGCACATTGATTTAATTAAACAAATAACAATTATGTAATTGTATGTAATGCTTCAGATTTCGCATATTCTATAAACTATCTACATTCGTGTAGAATCTACTAGTTAGTCTGTGCTTTATGTATTACTTTTCTCTATGGTCTGTGCTATCTACGTATATAATAAAATGATAATGCGCTTGTATATATTGTATTTAACAGGTGACAGCTGACACGACAGTCGCTAGTGTTGCTTACGAAAACATCTGAACTGCCGTATGGTCACAGTCTGGTTTGCCGTATTTTAAGGAAAAATTACTAAGGCCACCTTGCCAATAAAAGCGTCTCTTTTTCTCCTGACGATTACAACAGTAATTTCCTGTCTGCTCAAATTATTTCTAATAGTTCTAGAGCAAATACTATTTCATGTATGTCTCCCATGCCTCCTTATTCTCATGACTCTTTCACTTTTTCTTCTGTAATGAAGATGAGATATGCAAAACATTTCTGTCTATCAATTATAGAGCTGTTGGCTGTGGTGATGTGGGAGGAAGAATGGTTTTATACGTGATTGATTTTGTTGTGCCTGTATTTACTCACACCATTAACTTTTCATTGACGGTACTTTCCCAACATTCTCCGTATAAAGACTTTGTCATTCCTCTTCCAAAATCCACTGAGTGCAGCCTTCTTTTTCATTTTAGACCAATTTATATCCCGCTATTCTTATCTAAAGTTTAAGAGCCCTCTTACATTTCGGCGTTTCGCAAATTAAGGTATTTTACGCACCGAGCAGGCGGCGAGCTACGCGACCGATACGTTCTTTCATATCTATTCACTCGCTCGCACTATAATACTGCGAGTATGGCGATTAAACGATCTTGATCTTCCATAATACAAGTTTTCTTAGGATTTACTTCAATGGATGGAAAATTTTTTGGTGTGTCATTTTATTACTTTATTATTATATAATTTATTATTTATTATCATATACCATTTTGATATATTTTTCATTATTTATGAAATTTATTGTCAAAATAAGTACACATAAATATTTTAATTGTTACGTCGTAATCTAATGTTAATAATCGATTATGTCTACTGCCGGTAGAATAGTGGTATAAATAAATAAATATTACGGTTGCAACCTGTTTTAATAAATAAAACAACCAAATGTAACAAATATTTTTTTAATCGATACTTACAGTCAATTACCATATTTTTTGTTGGAAAAATATTTGCTGCGACAGCATTGACCGAACTTTTCTCGAGTCGATGATTTCAGGCAGTACACACTTTTCATAAAATGCTTGCAACTTGGATAACATATTGAAAATCTAAAATTGGTCGTCTTTGTAAATTTTTAGTACTTTTACTGCATAATCTGGGTCAGTACATATTATGGCAAGTATTCAGACATTTTTATTTGCTAAATGAAGCTGGCCTTGGATTTGGTAAAACCAGTCATGATTTTGATTTAATGTTACACTTGAATCACTGAATTTATAACCTTTAACTTTTTTTTGGTTGAAAGACCGTATCAAAATCTATTCCGAAAGCTGAAATAGGATATTTAACTTCAATAAGACCGTCACTGTATAAACCATTAGGTGAGAAGCTCTCAAATAACTATGATATAGGTCAATGAATAGACCACATTTTTCTATAATAATATTTTCTTGTTTTCTCAATTGTGCCAATGCTACAGACTCGTTGTCCCTACCATGTTTAATGGAAGAGACGTGATCTAAATTATACCATATAAAATAGTTTTAAACCGATCGATCAAAAACTGCGGTCGTAATTGACGATGCTCTAGCACGCAGGCAATCGATGCACACTACGCTAGCAAACGACGCACACTACGGTAGTATAGAAACGACTATCGCACGAAATCAACTGACGCAGGTCCAACCTCGACAAGCGCTCGCGCGATAGTGATAAGTGATCGCAGATGACCGCCGCAGTGAAATATATAGTACTTTAACGATTTAAAAAGAAAAACTAATAGTATAGTTTTAAGCAAATGTTGATGATTATTTAATGTTTAAGCTTTTTTCAAATTTAATAAAAATTAAGCTTTTTCGGTCGTTTTTTGAATTATGTCGATTTTTTCCTAGCGTGAAAGGCATATAACGAAAATATATTCTATAATTATTAAAGTGTAGGATATTTGGAAAATAAAAATATTTTTTTTATGATCGATATTCAATAGAATCTACAAATTGGAGCTCCCAAATCATGTCTTCGAGAGTTTTGCCTAAACATGCATCGGGAGAGTGATTATTACTGAATAAATAAATAAGTTATCTAAAATTCACTTTGAGCTTATATAAGAAGAGAAAACGAACTATTTTCACCAAGTAATTATTATTTCAAGCAACGAACGATAAACATACACTTTTGACGAGGAAAGCTTGTAATTTCGCGTTTTTTTTTTTGTAATACGCCTCTTAAGAAGCTGTTGCACATAAACAAATTTCTGCATTTATTATTTTAATACTCTTGACCACTCCTGACCATCTTGCTAGCTCTTCTCTTTCACTTGAATATCTCGTTTTCAGCCCATGATTGGTTCTAATCATATCTTCGAGGGCGCTAACAGTCCATGCTGTCTGACCAAATTGGAAGCTGTCTGAAAAATTGGAGCGATGTATTAACCGGTGTCCCTCAAGGCGGTATTCTCTCTCCTCTTCTGTTTTCAATTTTTATCAATCTTATCACATTAAATCTCAATAGCTCTTATCATCTGTATGCCGGTGATGTGAAACTATAAGCACAGGAGTGCATGAGTGTTTCTAGTTAGTATGTGGGGAGTTTTGGGAGATGCGATTATGTGTATTAAATGTCTGCGAATGTGAACCATTCGTGGAAACGGTGGAAATACTCCGATGGTGATGTGAATTTCAAGATAAGCTGTCTGTCTGCTTAGGCGTCTTGATACACTATCGCCAACAGTTTGCTGGATTAAGTTGCCGTCAAAATCTTCTAAAAACTACGGAATGTTACGCATCAACATATTGTGAATCAGTGTACTATAAAGGATTATTATGTTAAAAGTTAAAGTTACAGCCTATATACGTCCCACTGCTGGGCATAGGCCTCCTCGCATTTCTGAGAGGATTATTATCACAAACTAATAAAAAGTGCTAGATTATCACTTGATATTGAGATAAATAAAGACAAGTATCCAAGTCAAAAATCTTAATAAAAAAGAAAAAGTTAGTTCTTCTTCTTCTTTTAAATTAGTATGGCTTCTCTTGATAGAAAAGCATAGACTTATAGTTCGTCCGTTCAGACAATGCGTTCCTGACACCTATCAGTTAGTCACGACTAGTGATGGGCACAACATAACACTGAGTTCGTTACCGTTCCTCCAAAATGAACTGCCGAGTTATTTTTAAGATTATTTTCGTTTTAAATTGGCGGAATCATTTAAAATTTATATTTTAGTAATTTAAGTGGAAAGCAAAAAAAAGGTACTATTAATATAATAAAATTGTTTTATTTATTCTTTGTTACAAAGTAACAAACTGTATTTCTATGCAATAAAGTACATTGAATTGAATGTGCGTACAGAATATTAATCAGACTCCGATTCGCTTGAGGAGGTGGTGTCTTCATCGTCATCTTCGCCTACATGTATAATTATATTATTATCAATAACAGAATCAATCTTGATATCTCGGTCAAAATGTTCCACAATCAGATTTTTAGTCTTCTCAACAACCTTTGCCCAGTCATCTCTTGTGACTTCCCCGCAGGCTTCTTTTAATAGGGTCATCATCTTTTTCGTGCTGAATGGCGGGGAAGTATTGTGGCGGGCGGCGTAACCTTTTATTTGAGCCCAGATTAGCTCAATCACGTTATATTGGCAATGATACGGTGGAATTCTTAGAACGCGATGACCGTACTCCAGAGCCAGTTCATCGATTTCGTATCGCACATTTGCCGCTTTATTTTCTTTAACTAATTTAATTAGCTCTGGTTTTAGCATCTGCATATTTGCGTCAATGCCTTTTGCTTGTAACCAAGCCACCATTTCTTCGTTTTTATTAGCTTGGGTACGTGGTTTCTGTATTTGAACCGAGTGATAGGAGGCATTATCCATGAATATTACAGAACGCTCTGGTAGGCTGTGCAAAAGCACGTTCTGGAACCACTCTTTAAATGTAGTGGCATTCATTTCCTCGTGGTAGTCATTTGTGGTTTTTGATTGAAATGCCAGTAACGCGTTCTCCACAAAGCCTTATTTTGCAGAACCTGCGTGGCATATTATCAGACGGGCCCCCTTACCCATTGGTACTTTCGACGTCGACGCTTGTGTATCATCCGTCCAAGAACGGGAAACCGTGAGATTGGCGTTTAGCCATGTCTCGTCAATGAACACGACATTATCCCAGTTATCAATATTTTTTGCTTCTCTTAAAAAACTTATCTGTTTTAAAATTATGTCGTATCGTTCTAATAAAATTTTTCTTTTGTCTGTATTTTTATACGAAAAACCAATATCTTTTAGGATTTTGATTAAAGCAGTTTTACCCCCGCTAAACAGTCCAGCTTCTCTTAACGATGCCAAAAGCTTCTTCCTGTTGAGATATTCATTTCTGGAATAGTAACCATATATATGATTTCTGATTGCATCGGCGTCAAAGGTGTCAATATCTGTTACGGATTTAGTTCTACGTTTCTTCTTCGGAGTACGTAAAATATTATCTTCCGTGCCAATAGAGCCGAACTTTTCTTTATTAATATTTGTTATCGTTCGTTTGCTAACTCCAAGCGCCTGAGAGACGCGTTCTTGTACTTGTTTGACAGGTAACAGGGGTCCGCCATTTTGCCGCTCCCGCTCAAAGTAATCTTGCAGCTTGATGATTAACTCACGGGCTCCACTTTTCAATGTTTGTCCACGTTTAGGCATTATTATGCACCAAAAGTAAAAAGAACGCAATACAAAACACAATCGAAATCCGATTTAGCGCCGATGTCAGTTTGAAAAGCAGAAACAGTCCATTAAACGAAAACCGGGTAATCAAATAAAAACAGATCGAAAACACTTGAAGAACGTGGTCTATGCGCACGAAACGACAACAGACGACTGTTTTAGCGTCACAAAATGGCGGCCCATAACGCCATTTGGGGTTACCATTTTCAACCTAAATATAAAAATGCTACTTTCTTTCGCGCGTTCGGTTTGGTCGTAGTTTTATTTTTATATTTAATAAAAGTTATCTTATAGTCCATTATTTTCAAATTCTTAAAAAGAAAAACAAAACGTATTATTTTATAAAGTATAACTGTATAAGAACAGACTACGATACTGTTATTGCCTGTTATTGTTAGCACAGCACTACAAATATAAAGCGCTGACATAACCTTGTAATAGCGCAGTATAGATATAGAAAAATATTGATTACCAAGTTATTTGACACTCAGTTTGGCACAAAATTATAACATTCATTGATTATTGATATAATAATGTTGTTTTAATACTCATCAATTGTTAAAACGATAAACAACCAGCAAAAATATTTTTATCGTAACTGCAACGCCATTACAAAGTTACGTCGTCAGTTCAATCTAGAGATGGGTAACTCAGGAGAGATAGATACAAAAGATATGAATCAATCCGTTTCCATCAATCACTCTTTATATCCATCCGCATCCGAATGTATCACTGTATCAATATATCTTTACAACTTATTCACTCAAGACATCTTTAACTTTTTCTAACATCTGTGTCGCACATTGCGCACACTGCTTTCTATTATACCTCGGCCGGCACGGCCGGTCGTTCCAGGAAGATTTCGGAAAGTCCATAGTACAGACGTGTCTTTCGCAGGTCACTATTTACAATGTTCTGTCGCGCTTTGGCAAGACGGAGAGAGTGAGTTGTTTGACCATTATAAACTGTAATACGTTAGCACAAAAAGGTAAATTGATAACTCTATGACTGGTGCATAGGGCTTAAAGTCATTAAGCGGTACGTTAACATTTAAGTATTATACTGGTTTGAACTGTACCTATGTGTACTTTGCCTATAAATTTTTTAGTAAACAATGCAAACTAATTTCAGTTATAAAACCATAGTTTTTAAGAAAGTTTTATTATCGAAATTAATAGTCGTTTACATCCATAAAAAAGTAGAAAAAAGATTTGTGATTTACAAAATTAAACAAATATATCAGTTTGCTTCATTACTTCAACCTTAATCTCGGTTTGGGAACGAGAGTAATATTGTTTGCGTTAATTGCATCGAATAGAAAAATATTTGAAGTTGTTTTGTACACTTTGTGACTGTTTAATTTAAATGTAGGTAAATAAGACATTCATTGTAAATAGTTTAAAGTGTTTTTTGTTCTGTACGTACAGTTAGTGAATGTTTCATTTATTTTAAGTGTAAATAATTTTCGTAGTTAGTGTTTTATTAATAAAAAAATGGGTTCACGAAAACGACGCGCAGTGTGGAATCATTTTAATGAAGTAGAACCAAAAAAAAGCAAAATGCCTTTAGTGTGCGAACATGCAAAATAAAGAATTTTTATTATTATTATTATTATTTAATGCTAAATGTACCCGCTGGAAATTGTGGTAACCTTCCCCACAGTACCCCTCGTGGCTAAAAGACATCCAACGCAGCAGGCATGTTTTCAAGAAGCCGAAACTATATAATATATATTTTCTACAAATTAATACAAACAATACCTACCCTACCTACGTTATTTACGTTAATCATTAATTTAATTATTATTTTAAACTAAAAATTTAAGTTAATTTCTCGAATAAGTGCCTATTAATATTTATCAATCATAACAATAACAGCGCTCGCTGTAAAGTTCACAGTACGCAAGCAACCCGGGTTCGATCCCCGCCGGCACCAATGAAATTGTTAATTGCAATTTTAAGTGCTGATTTACCACGTGCTCGGCGATGAAGGAAAACATCGTGACGAAACCTGCATGTGTGAGAAATAGGAAAATTTTAATTTTTTTATCATAACAAATAGATACTTAGAAAGAAATAACAGCCAATATATCAGAAAGATACACAATGTTACAACCAAGCAAAATGCAAACAGCTCTATAGGTACTTATCTATCACTCTTACTGATAGGATTGATTTGAGCGAAGCGAGCCACGCTGAGTGAGCAACGCACGTTGCGATGCGTGTCGTGAAAGCGAGCTTGATCTACTGATACATAAGATATAAAAATATAAAAGAGTGATACATATCTAAGTGATCAAAAGATACATATCAATCTTTTCTTTTAAGTGATACACATTGCCCATGTCTAGTTCAATCTGACGTGTCAGGAACGCATTCTCTGAACCGCCGAACGAACTATAGAATATACAACGCCAGTTTACACAGAGTATCTTTGTATAAGCCGAAACCAGTATATTCTAAGTCTATGGCTAGCCGCACACACGCAATAATATTGACAATAAAGTACGTATTGTCAATAATATGGTGCGTGTGCGGCCTGTATTGCGATATTGTTCAATAATATTGTTGATATCCAGAAATTCTGATTTTGTCTCGTCAATATCGGGGGGAGGCAGGGGTATTGTCAATAATATTGCCGTTTGCGGGCGCGCGGCAATATTTTAGTTGAGGAAAAGATTTCAAGGAAGGCGGACGTTCGTTTTTTATTCAAAATGGAGGACGAAAACAATGTTGATATTAGTATTCTCACGCAAAATCAATATTTGTCAATATTTATTAAAACATGAGAAACTTATCCAGAATTATGGAATACATGTTGCGAATCATATCGCGATAAAGTAAGGAAAAATAATGCGCTTGATAAGTTGCTCGATATTTATAAAAAAATGAAACCAAATAGCACGAGAGAAGACGTCAAGAAAAAATTAAATGCCCTACGAACAAATTTTCGGAAAGAGTTAAAGAATATTTACAAATCGAAATCATCAGGAAAGGGAACCGATGAGGTTTACGTCCCGTCTGCGTGGACGTATTATGAATTGCTGTTTTTAACAAATGATGAACAACCAATAAAGAAAACTATAGAGGTTAGTTTATATTTTTTAATAAGTTTATTAATTACTCTCCGTAGGTTAGTACAAAAAACTTAGATTAGGTATTTAAACTACAAAAGTACTGACAATAATTGTCTCTTATTATTTTAGCATTTATAGTTGCATTTCTATTTTGAGTAGACTGTAGATTAGTTATACTGACTGATGGTGATTCCTTTTCTTGGTTTAAATAAAGGGAAGCGTTTTCTTTAATTAAAAAGTTGTGTAAGTAACAACAGGTTAAAGTCATTTTCGTTGCTTTGTCTGGTTCTAGATTTATAGCTTTTTGAAAAATACCAAAACGTTTAGCCAAGATACCAAAAGCACACTCAACCGTTGATCGAGCCCTTGATAATTTTTGATTGAATATCAGCTCATTAGAGTTGCAGTTTTTCTGTGAGTATGGCTTCATCAAATTTGGGCCCAAAGCGAACGCTTCATCAGCCACAAATACGTAAGGAAATAAGTGTGTCATGTTTGAAAGATTAATTGGGTTGGGCAAGTTAAGTAGACCTTGTTCGTAAGACTGCCAAAATTTTGAATAGAACAGGACTCCACCATCAGATATCCGACCATTGATACCAACATCAACCATCATAAATTCTTTACGAGCATTTACTAAAGCCAATAAAATTATACTATGGAATCCTTTATAATTAAAGTAACGTGAGCCTGCATTTATGGGCATAATAATCCCCACGTGCTTGCCATCTAGCGAGCCTAAGCATGTAGGGAATCCATGAATGCGTCCAAAATCATCGGCCACTTCTCTCCACTCTTGCTGTGTTGAAGGTGTCTAAAACAATAAAAGAAATAAACATTATCATAACTTGTTATTAACATTTTATTTACTTGTCTTTATATATTACAGGAAGACAAAGAAAATGATCAAGACCAATATAGCTATTCGATTAGCTCAATGGATCCACCTCCAACTCCAGTATCGGAAAATAAGAAAAGAAAAAAGGAAAATGACCAGCAAAACCTTTTACAGAGGACTTTATCGTTTTTGGAGAAGGATTCTTCTGATAATCAAGAAGAATATCATCTTGCCAAAGTCTGGGCCGCTAAATTGACAAAACTGGAGTCTACACAAAAACTTTTTGCGGAAAAGGCAATTAACGATATTTTATTTGAGGCACAACTTGGAAAATTAAACAAAAACTCAGTGAAAGTTAATGAGCATGTACCATATACTTCATCGCCTTTGCTGCCTAGACAGTCACTATATCATCCCAGAGTAAACTATATTCCATCACCTAGTCAATCACCAAGCACACAAGATTCAATTTTGAGATACAATTTAACACCTTCGCCACATTCTATATATAACAATGAACATAATATTGATAATACTATTACTATGAAACCTCCACAGATATTGTCCAAGACTCAAAGTCACCATCAACCAATTGTAACCACCGGTATTCCATCTCAAATAATATTAAGGCATCCACTGACACGATTGCAACAGTTTGGGTATGGTCCACAAGGCACAATATCACAAGAAAATAAACAAAATAATAATATAACTTCTAATGTTATAACATTTGAAGGCGACGTACATGCCAAGTATACTCCAAAAGAAGATATTTCAAATTTTTTTCAGTCCTAATAAGTGTTTTGTGAATATATTAGTAAAAACTACAATTTATTACCAAGTACTACTTGTTAATTAATAAAAGGATTATAATATTTTATTTGTTTTAGTTCAAATCAAAAACAAAGTGTATTTATTGCAAAAAACAGCAAAATACACATACATAGCATTGATAGTATAATTATTATTATCTAAGTATCTAGTGATTACCAAATACATAGCTTAGATGTTTAAATATTTAATTATTACTTACTTTTAAATAATCTTGCAAGACGTAAATTAACGTGTTACAAGTGTCCAGAACTGCTCCGCTTATAGCCCTTGGGGATAATAAAGTTGAATACTTCAAGTCTTCAAAACTTCTGCCAGTCGCTAAAAAGCGTAAAGTAACTGCCAACTTTTCTTCAGGCGTTCGCGATTTTCTCATGTGTGTATCTTTTTTCTTTAAATAAGGTGAAACTAAAGATAATAGTTTTTGAAAGCTGCTATCTCTCATTCTCATATAATTTTTGAAATCATTTTCTTCTGTAACTCGTAGTTCATTTATTAGATTAAAGTGATTTAACTCGGCTTTTTTTCTCATCCCGTCCTTAATCCATCGTTTCTTTTTTGATTGCCTTTTCTTAGTTAGTAAAATTAATGCAATACTCAATGCAACGCCTTTTTTCTTTCTATCCATTATATTAAACGTGCACACATGAATCTAGCTGCAGAGCGACTAAGTCAGATTGTACCATGAAAAATTGCCAATAATATTGCATAGTGTGCGGGACCATATATTGATGAAGATTTTTGACAATCTTGCATTGACAATATTATTGTGCGTGTGCGGCTAGCCTATGAGTAAAAAATAGTTTTTGTGGCTCTGATTTAGCTTGCTACCTTGCTATAGTGCCACCAACTTATCTGTTCAGTTGACAGCGTCGCTAGTGGAGTGCTTACTATTGCCATTTAAGAAATTCACCGAGGAAATAGGTGACTACATATTCATTACACATAATATAAAATAAAACAAATTTCTTGTTAATATATTAAAATTAATGAGAATTAGTGTTATTATATATATTATATATATTATTTATATTTTATAAAAATAATTGTGGACGTGACCTCGGTGTTCAAGCGGCTGAACTCCAGGAATTTGTGTTTTGAAAGATGTACCCGCGCTAGCTACTGGTTCCAATAATTCATCTTCTGAGTCACTGGAGTCGCTTTCGATATCGCTCTGACACGCTATAATAAAGGGTTCATCTAAATACGCGTATTTTAGTCTGTATTCATTTTCAAGTTTTTTATATGATTACAAATGTTTTTCCACTACACCGGTGTAATTTTATGGAATGCATCTTCAATTAATTGGGGCGTTGGAACATAAGATTTACCAACAGTTTTACAGTAGATTGAAATAAATTTTTTACTATGTTTGACAAGTACATTATTTGGTGATTTTAATTTTCCATATCTGGCAATACAAACCTGTCGCGGCAGCGACGCGTTCATACAGCTTTTCAAATAGTTGGGGCTTGTACACGTTTCTCGCCTTTCATAAAAGATAAAACTTTCAAGATAATCTGTCCCGCATCACTTTTAAGATCTTTAGGCATTTTATTTGCACTTTTTAAAAACACTTACCTGATAGCTCAGAATAAATAATAACTGACAGCGAAATGTCATTTACAAAATGGCGGCTTTAGTTCCAATTTTGTCCACCTGAACAGATAAGTTGGTGGCACTTTACATATTTATTTATCTAATATGCTCTGATTGCAACATGACATTTGACATTGACAATTATGTGCATTGTAGATTGTAAAAAAAATTATACATAGATGTCTTATAAACATTAAACATTCAGTGACGTCATCAGCGTGTAAAATGTAAGGGAGAAGCAAAACTATATTTCTTGTCTTTTTCTAGGTATGCGTTTTTGCGATGGTAATTATTGTTTTCCATCAGTTAATTGACATAATTGATGATAAGCTTTTGTAAATGCATTGATATTTTAAGCAAATATGTAATTGAATTTTGCGTTTTTGTAAGTTTTAGATATTAGGTAAGACGAACATTTTTACACGTGGTAGAGCCATGCTGCAGCTACATTAGTAATATAGTTGTAGCACGAATGGTTCCGCTCGACCAGGGAAGGACCACGCTCTCACAGAATACCAGCGTAAAATAGCAGAGTAATACTGCTGTGTTTCGTATGGTGAGTGTAGAGAACCGGAGACCCTTTTTACTGAAAAAGAGGCATTCCATCTTAGTCCTTACGGGTGACAACGCATCTGTATTTTGATTCGCAAACGAGGATAGATCTATGTCTATGGGCCACAGCAACCACTTACTATCAGGTGAACTATATGCTCGTTTGTCACCCTATTCTTAAAAAAAACCGAAAAAGGTTGTAAGTTGTAGCATTTTAGGATGCAATAGCATAAGTCAACGAAAAATTGATAATATTACTAAGTTTCTTTTGTGCTTACATTTGCTACTTGTATTGATTAATATCTATTGTTTTGAATATAAAATGTAACATTTCATGTTATTAATGTCCTTTGTGATGTATTTTGTCAAATATGTGGACTCCCAAATTGTAAATTCTTCATGATAATCCTCCTTAATTTGAACGGTCATTGGAAATCTTATCAAACGGTCTTATCAAACGTGTACTTTTTGATTTGGTAGGGTTATGGAAACTATAGGGATATCAGTAAGTACAATAATATTTTCCCTTTGTCCAATAATATTTTTTATTGTTACAGTCGATTTGGGTAACTTTGAACATTTTTTACAGTATTTGTGATATTACAATCTGATTTATATTTATACACGTTTGTTTTATTGAAAAAATAGTGTTCTTCTGAGTTGGTTTATTATTTCAACAAAATAAATTTACGGAGAAAACAACAGAACTACCTAGAAATTCCTCTAAAAGTCAAATTCAAAGTTACCACGAGTTTTGGGTAACTTTGAATCTAAATTTTTTAGGGTATAAAAACCTATATTAATCCAATATTTTAAGGTTCGGGTAAAATTAGACGACGTATTCTTATTTAAAAAAACCTTATCTATCAAAATGATATCTATGGTGACGTTCAAATATAATAGATAACTTGGTCTTGCCATATGAATCAAGGTGGACCAATTTGGAGGGAAAAAAGGTCGTGTTTTTTTTATAATTATTTATTACTTCAAGATAAAGTAGGAAAGTTGTGTGTAACATAACAAATTATACATTTATTTGGCTATTGAATGAGATCAAAATCGTAACTCTAAGTAACATTTTCTTAAACAATTTTTTAAACAAAATCATACACCCCATTGCAATAACAGAATTTCATCTTCAATAAAAAGTTGGCCGCCTTTTTGGATAACTGTTGCTCCTTTAAAACACTTATTATATTGGCCTCATCGATTTGACATATGTCAGCTTTAGAGGGCCAAGACCAACCTCCTAAAAAGTTTTTTTGGAGCACAGAGACTTGTAAGGGTCTAAGTTTTTGTATCCTTCCTGGGAACAAACTACCCTCTTCTCTAAAGACACAATATGTACCCTCTTTTAATTTCGGGACTTTAACGTCTCCCTTGCCTGTACACTTCTCAGTCGTCAAGCCCTTTAATTCACCACTTTTCTCATCTACTATATATTCTTCTATAATGTCTTCATCTATTAAAATCACTTCACTTCCTATGTCTAAGTCAGGGCTTTCTTCCTGGATCATATCTTCTGCCATGACTTGATTTTCAAAAGCGTTGCTTAAGTCACCAGCAGATGTCTTGGAAAGTTTAGGAGGTTGGTGATCTAAAGCTTCTACTATTATTACTTTTCTTTCAATTTTTTCAGACTTATTATCACTATTTTTTCAGTGATTGTATCTTCTGCTTCTCCATTTTTAATCTGGTCCCTTTCAAAATCTTTATTTTTTTCTTCTTCTGTATCATTATTAATCTTCTTTTTCTTTTTGTTCTTAGAACCCAGGGGGTCGTCCTTTTTTCTTGGTTTGCGCGTCGCTTTCAGCTCCCTTTAGTCCTATACTTTTGTTTGTATTGTCTCTTTCTTCATAATATTTTTCGACCTCCTCAGCCGAAACGCTTTTCCCAGCCGTAACAGGTAATTGAAATTTTCTTCCTTTCTTCACATGCGAATCTCCTTGCCTTATTTCTTCTATGTAGTTTATGAAACTTGTACCAATAGAATCGCAAACATCTGCCTGAGACGTGTACCTTGGTAATTTGTTCAAAACGGTAGAAGGTGAAAATGGTTGCAAGCCACAGCTCTGAAATCCGGCTTTCACATTATCAGATGACGTACCTTCAATATTATTTAGAGACTTTTTGAGCAGCTGAGCAAAGAGAGACTTTGGCAGTGCTTGTACTTTTTTTCCTTTATTAGTCTGTCGATAATCATTGAGAACTTTTCTCCATGAAGTTTTTAAGCCAGAAAAATAACCCACATCTAGTGGTTGCAACAGGTGGGTTGAATTTGGTAGTAAGCAAATAAACGTAATGTTATGTTCACTGCAAAGACGTAATGCTTTTGGTGATATATGGGCGCTGAGATTATCGCACAACAATACCTTCTTGCCATTTTGCTTATCAACGTGTGGAATAAAATGTTTTTCCAACCACTCCTCAAAGATTGAAGAATCTATCCATCCAGATTCAGACACAGCCATTCTTGAACCTGAAGGAGCTTGAAAAAGCCAATCTGACCACAGTCTCTTTCCTTTAAATATAAAAAAAGGAGGCAAAACTTCGCCACCAGCATTTGCACAAAAGACCACAGTGTAACACGATTTACTGGTATTTTTTATAACTTCGGGATGTCGAGAATCTCTACGGAAAAGCAACTTTTTCTTTCCAGGGTCGTCATGAAAACCTGACTCATCCATGTTATATATATTTTCTGGTGGGACTCCTTCTATTTCCGTTTTAATATGTTCAAAGAATTCCTCGACCATTTCTCGTGTGACTTGAGCCCTCTTTCGGGATATGTTATAAGCTATTTTTGTTTTTAATTCTGGGTTTCTTTCTAAGAACAATACACCCCATTCATAACCTGGAAGGTTGTTTTTAAATTGTGGCTTTGTCATATTGTTGCTATCTAAGTAGTTTTTTACTACAAATCTGAAGTCCATCATACTCATAGGTATGCCGAGATCGCTTAGCAGCAACAAATGAGCCTTGAAGCTAGTTTCTTCGTCTTTACTAAAAGTAACAGGTTTACCAACTGGTTTTATGTGTTTACTTTTTAATTTGTAAAAAAGGGTTACCGCGGGTATTTTGTAAAACTTTGAAGCAGCGAGTCTAGACATGGCACCTGAACGAATTTTACTGAGGGCTTCTTCGAGCGTTTCAGAGGTATAATTACTTTTTAGTCCATATCTCCTAACCCCGGGGTTCACTTTTTGAGTTTTTCGGGGCATATTTTAGCTGTAAAAGGCGAAAATTTTAATCGTAATCGAGCAACATCATGTATTTACTTATTCAAAGTTATCCAAACAATATTTTTTTATAATACGGGTAACTTTAAACCGTTCAATGTTACCCAAATTACTTCGATTTTGATCGTCTTCAAAACTTCGTCAGTTCTACATAATATTTAACATCAAAATCGAGTAATGAATTGAAAAAAATAAAATATAAACTACATTTTAAAGATAAACACCAAAACATACCTGTGTAAAATAAGTTTAGTATATTTAATTACTATTTCAAATCAGAGCAAAAAACACTTCCAATAACTTCACTACGGAAAAGGCGGGTAATTTTCAAAATTATGTATATGACAGTTTATTTTTTTACTCTTCGTTTGCTACAAAACATTTTGGCGATCCATTTTACGCAGTTACGATATTGTAACAACAAAAAGTTTCCTTATTATAAATTATTAAATCTTTTTCACAACTTTGTTCAAAGTTAAACCGCTATTCAAAGTTACCCAAAATGACGTTATTAGTAGTTATGTCCATATATGAATGACATAATGTTATACATATACATACACTATTATGTTTAACTTTAAAAGAAACACTCCTTATTGCCCTAAAACTCTTCAATCATTTTCTATATTATATAGACGTCACTAATAATATGTAAGTATCAACCTGAAAACATGTTTGGGTTCAAGTACATAATATTGAGCAAAGTATATTTAATTTCACAAAATTTGTACTGCCTGAAATCAGATGCACAAAACTTAATTGCATTCCATTAATTCTATTATACATTAGCAACAATTACGTTACAATATTTATTAAAAAAAGGTTTGTGTACTTATGTACGCACGTAGGAAGTTATATTTCTTTAGCGTATCAAAACCAAAAAAACTTGAGAGACAATTACCCACTGAAGTTGTCGCTTTTAGGTGACAGTGTGCGCGCACTTTGTAACAACTTCATAGTGTCGTTTTTAGCTGTCGGTGTGCACGCACATCGTAAAAATTTCACTCCCTTATTTTTCCCAAACGCCCCAAAAGAAGTATAACTTCAAAAATAAATAAATAAGTCTTAACCTTAAGGTACACAATAAAATAACAACATAAGATATTATTTTCAATTAATGATGTTGGTTAATGATACACTCACACTTTATCACTAGGTTTTACTCACATACCACTATACTGTATTATAGAAAAACTCAAGAAGGCAAAGATTGTTCGACTATACATCATGATGGAAAAATGCAAGTGATGCCGCGATTAACCAGCGACAGCACCATCTAGACAGAACAGGAAAAACTAAATTTACTTAGAAAGTTTGGTATTAAGTTTGTTATTTAAACATTCCGCCGCCCAAGGACGATTACAGTCCTTTGAAAATGTGAACATAAAATAAATAAAAACAAAAGATCAAAACAAACTAAATTCTTATAACTAGTCGGAATCATTAAAAGGCAGAGGGCACAATTTTGCGATAGGTAAAGACACAACTCTTGTAACGCCATCTGCACCTGGGTGCCTCCGAATGATTCGTCCCAAAAGCCACTTTCCAGGAGGAAGTCTATCATCTTTTACCAACACTAGAGTACCTGTAGCAAGTTCTGGCTGACTCTTGTTCCATTTATAACCATATTGCAACGTTGTCAGATATTCATTTTGCCATCGTTGCCACAAACACTGCACCATACGGTGAATAATATGCCACTGATATAAAGGGCTGACTTTAACATCAATCACAGATGGTTCTGGGACACCAATAAATGGGTCCCCAACCAGAAAGTGCCTAGGCATAAGGGAGGTTCATCAATAGTAGATTTTTTTTTCAAGAAGTTTCGACTTGGGATAAGAGAATAGATAACTCCTCGTAGGTAAATAAGGTTTGTCCCGTTACGCGTTTCAAGTGTCCTTTAACTCTCTTCACTCCAGGTAATCAAAGTCCCGGAAGTGAGGTGCCCTAGGGGGTATAAAGTTCCAGTGAGTTTGGTCATTAACTAGTAGTTCAGCAATTTCAGAAACAATTACAGATTTTGCATATCTAAAGGCAAGATCTAGTTCACGGGCCGCGCCCACAAAATTCGTATCATGATCACTCCAAATTTACTTGCAGTGACCACGGTGAGCAGTAAAGCATCGAAAAGCAGCTATGAACGCAGCTTAAGTGAGATCAGTTACCAATTCTAGATGAAGGGCTTTTGGAACGGTGCACACATATAAGCAAACATAAACGTTACAGGATTTTTTACATCTACCAGGGTACAATTTCATTGTAATAAGTTCGGCAAAATCTACTTCACTTGTTAAAAATAGACCAGTTGGTTTAACACGAAATTTAGGGAGATTTGTGAGGACAGTTTTAACAATACTTTTGACTCTAGTTATCCAAAATTTTTGTCTTACAAAGTTCAAAGTAAGTTAATGCATCCATGCAGAGTTTTCAAATGAGCGTTCAAAACAATAAGTTTAGAAAGACCAAAAATATTATTTAAAATAACAGGATTTTGCATAATATCTTGAATCTCTGCAATAGCAAGTCGACCACCCACGTGAATAATGCGTTTATCATCTAGATATGGGTTAAAACATGTAGTTTGCTCGATTGGTGAACTATTTTAAGTTTACACATTTTAATAAAACGTAAACAATAAGCAGTTACACGTACCCAGCTACGTGCGCTGCAGCTGCAGTTACTGTACAACACCATTTTCAAAAACATTAATGTTTGTCTGTACTTCAGTTTTAAACTTCATTTCTAAATCTGTTGCAGGTACAACGTTATCTAAATTAGCAACAGCATTGGGCGTTGTAAAAATTGTGGGCCATTTCACCATAGTTCAGACTGCTGCAAATCGGATGGGTATACTCCACGGGAAGCTAAATCGGCCGGATTATTCGCCGAACTAACATGATGCCATTGGTCACTATTTGTGAATGTCAAAATCTCTAAAGTGTGATTAGCAACAAATGTGGTCCTTGTATTATTAGGTGTCTTACGCAGCCAAGCCAAAACTATGGTCGAATCCGTCCATGGATAGATATTTTCATCAAGGATATTTGGTATGGTACACCACAGAGCTCGAGACGGGGAAGTGAAATTTCTTTGACGGAACAACTTTAGATTTAGCCATAACCAGATATACTTTAATTACATAATTTTCCCAAACTCTGAGATACACCACTCCAGCATAAGTGGCACAGGAAGCATCATTGAATCCATGCAGTTCTTGTCTAATTATGCTATCAGAAACTCCAAGCCATTGTGGGAACTGAATGGGTTTAGAGTGCGCAAAACGTTCGAGGTAAGTTATCCATTAATTTTTTAGGTCATGAGGGAGTTCTTCGTCCCAAGCTAAACCAGCTAACCACAACTTTCGCATAAAAATTTTAAGTAAGATTATTTCAGGTGTTAGCCAACCTAGAGCGTCGAAGGTTTTTGCAATTGTGGACAGAACATTTCGTTTTGTGAGATTAAATATAAACATCAACAACAATTTTACTGATGGAACTCACAAAACTATCTGTTTGTGAGTTCCAGATGATACCCATAGCTTTCAAAGTATCTTCCACCTTTATATTTATTGTGTTTTGTGATATTTTATCATGATCAGGTATACCTCAAAATTCAGGTATACCTCAAAACTTGAAAACGAGACTGTACACCCAGTGCGTGTTGCCAGTGATGACATACGGAACTGAGACGTGGTCCTTCACTGCTGGCCGGATGAGGAAGCTCAAGGTCGCTCAGCGAGCTATGGAGAGGGCTATGCTCGGAGTTTCTCTGCGTGATAAACTCAGAAATGAGGATATCCGCAGTAGAACCAGAGTGACCGACATAGCCCAACGGATTAGTAAGCTGAAGTGGCAATGGGCCGGCCATATAGCTCGAAGAACCGACAACCGATGGGGAAGAAAGGTTCTCGAGTGGCAGCCTCGTACCGGCAGGCGAAGTGTAGGGCGTCCCCCCACTAGATGGAGTGACGACCTGGTAAGATATGCAGGAAGTCGATGGATGCAGGTGGCTCAGGACCGTGCTTTGTGGCATTCTTTGGGGGAGGCCTATGTTCAGCAGTGGACTTGTGAAGGGCTGTAATGATGATGATGATGTGATATTTTATCATGATCAGAAATTTGTGAAAACACTAATTTACTGTTACTTTAATTTACTGTTAATTTGTGTTGTAAACACTAATTTACGGAAACCACCGTGAGACAACAATTCAGTAAGCCTTTTTTTGTAAGAGAACAGCATCTTCTTCATTAGACGCAACAGTTATTAAATCGTCCTTGTACAGGTTATTTTTCAATATTTCGGATTCTACAGGAAAATCATGTTTTTCATCTTCAGCAAGTTGGTGCAGCGTGCGAATAGCTAAGAATGGCGCACAAGATATTCCGTAAGTTACGGTAAGTAGTCTATATTCCTGTATCGGTTATGTTGGAGATTCCCGCCATATTATTCTCTGGTAGTCCACATCATCTTTAGATACTAAGATCTGTCTATACATTTTTAAATGTCAGCGACTAAACAAAATTTATGTTGTCTCCACCGAGTAATTAAATCTCTGACATCTTGTTGCAACGGATAGTCTTCCTTGAAGTTAGCCTTACGTGTGAAAAGTTTCAACAAGATTTGTGGGACAATCATCCTTGAACGGTAAACACAAATGTAACCTTCGTCATCATTGCGCGTGTGTGTGGTTTTAAAATACTCTTCATATTGTGCTTCTAATTCAGTCATCGGCCATTTGTGAGGTAAGTTCTCTTCAATTTCTCAGAATTGTCTGAGTAATGGTGGCCACACACGGTCAGTTAAACTGATCAGTTTAACTGACGTACATCCAAAAACTGACCGTGAATGTGAAATCTTAGGTTGAAATTTTTAATTGACGGCAACACACGGATTTTATTCGGGCGTGTTGTCAGTTAAACTGCTCCGTTGAACTGACGTACATCCAAAAACTGATCGTGAATGTGAAATATTAAGTTAAA